TACCATTGTCATCTTTTTTTCTTTTTTCTGTCTGTCTTACTATATTTTATAGTCACTTCCAAGCCTTAGATTTAACTCTTACCTACCACAGAAGTTAATCCTTTGTGGGTGCCATAGCTCACCTTCTTACAAAGGGCACTAAAATCACCTGCAGATTTGGATTTTCCCTAAACCAAAGTATACTGAGGGGACAGATTTTCTTTAAATAATATTTCCCCTAAGTCTAGTCAAAAGGTAGCTTTGAATTTTTTAAAAAATATATTTTATTGATTTTTTACAGAGAGGAAGGGAGAGGGATAGAGAGTTAGAAACATCAATGAGAGAGAAACATCGATCAGCTGCCTCTTGCACACCCTCTATTGGGGATGTGCCCACAACCAAGGTACATGCCCTTGACCGGAATCGAACCTGGGATCCTTGAGTCCGCAGGCTGACGCTCTATCCACTGAGCCAAACCGGTTAGGGCAATAGCTTTGAATTTTTAAATGGATTGAGATCACAGCCCTCTCTATTCTCTTCATTCTTCTGTTAGAAATTTCAGTCTTTTTTTAAATATATTTTATGGATTTTTTACAGAGAGGAAGGGAGAGGGATAGAGAGTTAGAAACATCGATGAGAGAGAAACATTGATCAGCTGCCTCCTACACACCTACTGGGGATGTGCCCGCATCCAAGGTACATGCCCTTGACTGGAATCGAACCTGGGACCCTTGAGTCCGCCGACGCTCTATCCACTGAGCCAAACCAGTCAGGGCAGAAATTTCAGTCTTTCACACCTTCTTCATCTTGCTTCTAATACCTAACAAATGACCAGGTGGAGAGAAAGCGTGAACTTTTCAGTTTTACTGAATTGTTAGGGACTTTATTTAAAGTTCCGTAAATTTGTTGATTTCTTTTTCTTTTCCTTTTTTTGTTAATCCTCACCAGAGGATATTTTTTCCATTAATTTTTAGAGAGAGTGGAAGGGAGGGGGAGAGACAGAGAAACATGGATGTGAAAGAGATACATTGATTGGTTGCCTCCTGTACTTGCCCCAACCAGGGCCAGGGAACAAACCTGAAACCTAGATACATACCTTTGACCAGAATTGAACCTACAACCCTTTGGTGTGCTGGCCGACACTCCAACCATTGGGTACACCGACCAGGGCTGATTATTTTTTTTAAATCCTCACCCGAAGACATGCTAAGAGAGGGAGGAAGGGAGGAGAAAGGAGGGAGAGAAATTAACAGCAATATGAGAGATAAACATGTATCAGCTGCCTTTGGTACATAGTACATGCTCTGACTGGGAATTGAGCTGGCAATCTTTCAGTGCACAGGACTACACTCAACCAATTGAGTCAGTTTGGCCAGGCTGATTTTGTTTTGTTGTGATTTTCTGAAATCTCTGAAATGTTTCATGGGTGTATCCTAAGTATAAAATGAAGCATCTTTAGGGTTATGATTTGAATGAGGTAGTTCTTGGTAATAATGCTGTTGGAGCTGTGAGGTTGGTTATAGGCCTGCTTGTCTGAATTTGGGAGTCAGAAGCCTTAGATTGGAGTTTTAGGAGTTCTCAGAAACTCTGAGGTTTGTGAGCTTCCCTCATTGGAGTGCAGGGTAGGGTTTCTTTGCTCTTCTGTCTGACTGGACTATTCTAGTTGATTCTAAATTATTCCTGACATGCCTAGAGGATTCAGAGCTCTAAATTAAGGGTTTGGGGACTTAGAGCAGCAATCGGAATTCTAATGACTTCCTTACTAATTTTCAGTATCCCCAGAGGGGTAAGCTATAATAATATCCCATGAGACTGACTTCTTTTGACAATTGATAGGGAGAAGAACTGTCCATCTAGATCCAAATGTAGAATATTTCCTTTTTCTAGTTCAGAGGAAATTCAGTTTTAATTAAGTTTAAATATGTGCTAGAAAACCATTATGTGAAAAGTAAATATTTTATTTCCTTTCATTGAGACTTCTTTTTCTTACTTTCTTTAATGGAGATGTCACTAGTTAAAAGCTAGCTAGAGGCTTACTTTTTGCCAGAAAGACACAGGTAGGGAATTTTTAAAATAACTTTGCTAGAACAAAATAATAACTTAATTCCATGCTGTACTAAGATCTAGCATTTTGCTGGAAAATGTATAGGAATAGTGACTTTTCTATTCAGGCTATCAAAAAGTTAGTACACACATACACACACACAACCCCCATACCTGCCCCCACACACACACACACACCCACACACCCACACACACACCTTGAAATGACCCCAGGGGTATCTTTTTAATGAGCCCAAGTAGATGTTACAAAAGCGGAGCACCAAAGCTTATGTGTTACTAGCATAGGGGCAGCTCTCAGGTTCCTTTTTGAAGCCCATTTAAGGTTAAAAAAGGAAATCTGGTTTCCTACCCACAGCCGGAAAAGCCAGCAGGAACTGCTGGAGGTGGCACATGGGCATCAAGGAGAAGTGACTGTGAGGAAGCAGGAAAGACAAAATGTTCCTTCTGTGTTTTAAAAAAAGAAACAGATACCTTGTAGAAACATCTTTATCTGAAATGCTAAAATATGTGAGGTGTTCATACTTTCTCTTACCAGTATTACATTTCTGTGCGCTGGCACTCCTCTGGGGCTGCCAGGTCATTGAGGGTAATTAATAGCTGCAAGGTGGTAGCACAGTTAACTGGTATCTAAATGCCATTCCAGAAGCACTTGTGCATATGAAGCATAATAGATTTCTGTTATTTTAACAACATCTGAAACAAGAAGAAAGAGAACTTGTAAGCTCTGGCATTAATGAGATAATAGGGCCCTTTGTAGTTAGATAGTGACTGCTAAGACTGGTGAGCTATACCTACTAGTCTTAAGATAGTTTAACCTTTTCCATATGATGATTTATCTTCTTCCAAATGCTTTCATTTCCCTTTTTCTATAGTATCCCCCCCCCCACTTTAATATCTCTCTTAGAGAAAATTCACCTCAAGCTAAAGTTTGATTTATTGGACTGTGTTATAAAGTAGCAAGACAGTAAAAAGGTTTCTAGTGTGATTTTTTCCTTTAAAAAAATCACAGTGTCCAAGAAGAAACGGTTGTCTTCCTCTTGCAATTAAACGATTCGTAGACTGTTGGATTCCTTTTGCTTCTGAAGCATGATGTACAGTTTAGTAATGATGTCCAAGGCCCTAAAACCTGTCTGTCCTCCAGTTCATGTTCCACCATTTTTGTAACAACTGTGAGTCAAGTTGATCTGAACAGGCCTCTGGTCTTAGAGGGCAGTGAGTGCCTCTTTAAGTCTTTTTCATGTGGTGTTTGTATGGTGATTAAGATCACCCATAGAAACCCGTGTAGGTCCTCTTAGTGGATTTTAAATGTTTTTGGGTGGCTCTGGCTTTGAGGGATCTATTAAAGCTAATTAACTGCTGTGGAAGCAGTGAGAAAAGTGGCTAGGTAGTCATCTGGACTGTATTATATGTTCTTTCAAACTCTAGTGTTTTGACCTAATAATTGTTACATTAGTTTTTATCTATTTATGGAAACTGATAAGACTGAAGTTACTTAGGTTTGTATTGAGTCTGGGCTCATTGCAAAAACCCCCGTTTGACATCAGTCTACCAATTTTCTTTTTGCTTCTGCTTGGCTTTTAGAATTTCTTAAATTCTTGCATCTTTGACCCTGCACATTTTAAGGTTTTTCAATCTAAAGAAAAGTTGCACTTGTGCCAGTATCATTGGTTTACTTTAAATCAAAACACTGACTGAATTTGGAGTTTGGTGAAATATTAAGTTTATAAAGAATATGTTGATTTCCTCCAGTGTTGTAGCTTCTCTGCATTTTGTCAGCCTTTTAAACATGTACACAGCAGTCTAATCAGAAAAGATATAAAAAGGCTGCTTGTGGCTTTTACAGTAATTTGGAAAGATGGAAAAGTAAGCTAAAGGCCTGCCTGTATATGAGGTCATCCAATTCTCTCTTGGTACAGAGTAGCATAAAGTACTTTCTCAATAAATATTTGTTAAATAGTTAATGTATCTCTTTCATGTTTCTTTTAGCATTAATGTAGGGAGTTACTTGTACTTTTCCCCATTATTTCCATGTGAACCAAAACAATTTATTGTGCCAATACAGAAATGCCTCAAAGTATTGGATGAAAACTGCATTTAACAAAATTTATGGACATTATTTATTTCAGTCATGTTTATTCCATTTTATTTTTATTTGTTTTTTAAAATCCTTACTGAGGATATGTTTATTGATTTGAGAGAGAGAGGATGGGAGAGAGAGAGAAAAACATCTATCTGTTGACTCCCGTATACACCCCAACCGGAGATTGAACTCACAACCTTTTGGTGTATGGAACAACTACCAACTGAGCCACCTGGCCAGGGTTCTACATTAAAAAGTAGTTTGGGGCTACAGATATCTTTTTTTTTTTTTCCAGAGACACATGCCCAAAATAACATTGCCTATTTTTCTAATTTATTTTTAAAAGTACTTGTGATACCTCTGAGTTTACAAGTCGTTTTTTAACTTTGCCACGCTCTGAGACAACATGATACGATTGGCATCCTTACTAGAAATCTTCCTTGTGTGAGACCTGGCAGCATTGGCAGGGTAAACAGTAGCTGCAGATGTATTAGGAAAATGACCTATGTATATGCTTGGATCTTACTGTCTCTTTTCTTCAAGTTTCAGTCATTGCTGTTGAGGTTAAGTGTGAGATGAAGTAATTGCTACTTGCATTTCATTCTTTTGTTAGGAAGTTTGGAGAGTGAGACCCCTGACTTCATGGGTTTTAAAGAAAGCATTCAAGTTCTTTCTAGTTAGAGTCCTTGATAACTTTAAGAACTGGAAATTTAATGTTTATTGAATGCTTTGATGTCAGTGTATAGTAATCTTAAAGCTGTGTTAAAATGTATTTCTTGTGTCTCTAAACATCCTGCCTTCTTTTGTGACCACATCCTTCTCTCAGCCAAAATAACACACTAACTGAGTTTCAATATTCAATATCCTTCTCTGGCAGATGTTTTCTGGCAAAGGCCTTCCTGCGTTTATGAATTCTCTCTCAAGAAGCAAGAGAACACCTGCAGGAAGTGAATCAAGATGCAGAACACAGAGGAATAATCACCTACTTCAACAAAATAAAGTACTGTTGAAAAAGATCATGTCTCTCTATTTGTTCCTAGGTGTTAAATTTTAGTAGTTAATGCAGAATTCTGTAATCATGGAATCATTAGTGGTTAATGTTTGAAAAAGCTCTCGCAATCAAGTCTGTGATGTATTAATAATGCCTTATCTATGGTTTGTAGTTATTTTAAATAGCATGAGCCTTGTCCCTGTAGTCACTAGGGGGCAGTCTTGCTTTATTCATCCTCCATCTCAAAATGACTTTGGCATAAAATATTTTAGTGTAAGATAATGTGTAATGCTGGCTATTTTAAAGGGGTTTTCTCAAAAGTTAAAAATTTGTTATGACTGCATTCATTTCTGCACATAATTCATATTTACTGTGAAAATTAATCTAGAAATTGATGCAATTGTATTGTGAACACCTGAAAGCAAAACCATAGTGCAAATACATTTGAGATTTGGTCAAGAATATGTTTTTAATTGGAAAATAATAAGCATTAATTTTTTTATAGTTTGTATTCTAAATTTTGCAGTACCTGTTGTTCTTTGTTGTGTGCCTAAGGGATTGTAAATGTGTTGTCACTGTATAGAATAGAAAGGACAGGGACAAATACAGCTTAATTACTAAAATGCAATTCTGGACACTTTCTGTATGATTAGAGTCTCCCTATCCCTTCTTTGTCTTTTTCTCTTATCTCCGGATGATGATTAGGCCAAGGGCTAGGAGTAGGGAGGGGATTAGTTACTAGGAGCAAAGAATTTTCTTGGAACTTTTGAGATGATCCCTAACATACTGTATGTACTACTTGCTTTTACAATGTGTTAGCAGAAGCTGATGTGTTATAAGTGTAGAATGATGTGCTTTCTGCCAAGTGGTTATTCACCTTGGTTTGCTATGTTAAAACTGTAAATACAACAAAACATTAATAAATGTCTCTTGTGTAGCAAATTTGTTGTAGATTAGTGTTTAATTTTTTGGTTTGCATTTGTTGATTGCTAAGGCAATTTTTCTAATCTTCATTCATATAGATTTCATACAGAATAATTCAATAAATATAAACAAATTTGTCTTGGGCCAATTTTTTTCTTTTTCAGTACAGGAAGTTCCCTTCTTTCAGATCATACTCAAATCATTCCTAAAAATGTTTGTGAAAATTGGTTCTGCAAAAGATAGTGGACTGAAATAGGAAGGAGTTGTAGAGATTTTAAATCACCCTGCCATTCCCAATTATGTTTCATTTTTTAGACATAATCTTAGATAATTTATTCGCATTTGCCTTTTTTCTCAATTGAACACAGCCTACTGGTTTAAGTGCTATGACCTATGAGCACCCAGTTGAGGCAAAAGATTTCTTGTTCCTCTTGATTTCTATTCTTACCTCAGTTGTGTTAAATGTAGAGATAATGGTTCTTACAATGTCAACCATTTGATTTTTTTCCTTCTTCCACTTACTCAAATAAAATATAAAGGAAAAAATGCAGCAAAATGGTCAAATAACGACAAAATACCACTGGCGTGGTGTGATAGCTGTGCATGTTAGTTCTCTGCCGCAGGTGAGCACTGGGATCAGCATGGGATGTCTGTTCAAGGGTGTCAGTGATTAATGCCCAGACGTACAGATGGTTTGAAAGCCAAACAGGGAAATTGAGAGCCTCCTGGATTGATTGACAAGGCAATGATCATCCTAATTTACTGATTATTGTAAGTAATAGGATAGTATGTTCTTGTTCAAAAGTTCTGTTTTGCTGTAGGTAAGTAGGGGCTTCATGAAAGTCTCTTTAACGATTTTTTTTATTTTCAATTAGATTATATCAACAATAGTTTGGAAGAGTATGTAGCTTATAATGTTCTAAGTTTCAGAATGCTGTATCTCTAACAATCTGAATAAATGTGGACATATGCAACAGAGAGAACTACTTAATTACCTTACAGGACAAAATAGAAGGGCCCTAACTCATGTTACTCAGACATTGTGGACTTGCTTTGTGTTTCATCTTTAGGTCCCTGTGCCTTATTCGGTTCTGTATATTCAGAGAATTGAAATATTTGCATTTCTATTTCTACATATTTGGCTTGTAAGACTTAGTCAAATGTAAATCTACAGTTTGATATGTTTTAAAAATATTTAGGAGGATGATTTTTTTTCCCTTTAAATGTTCTAAAAATTAAAGTCCAGATGCATAAAGTTGGTACCCTATGTCACTTATAGTCCTCATTATTCCGGGTGGAAATGTTTATACTGCACATTTTTCATTTTTTCTTTCTCATTCTTTTCTGTCTCCCTTTGGTATGCTTATTATTAAGAATAACCCTTTCAGCCCGGCTTGCGTGACTCAGTGGTTGAGCTTTGACCTATGAACTGGGAGGTCACGGTTCGATTCCCAGTTGGGGCACAAGCCAAGATTGCAGGCTCGATCCCCAATAGGGGGTATGCAGGAGGCAGTCAATGAATGAGTATCTCTCATTGTTGATGTTTCTATCTCCCATTCCTGTCCTCTCTGAAATCACTAAAATATATTTAAAAAAAAAAAAGTAACCGTTTCAGCCTGGCTGGCGTGGCTCAGTGGTTGAGTGTTGACCTATGAACCAGGAGGTCATGGTTCGAATCCTGGCCAGGGCACATGCCTAGGCTGGATCCCTAGTGTGGGCGTGCAGGAGGCAGCCAGTCAATGATTCTTTCTCAATGTTTCTATCTCCCTTCCTCTCTGAAAGCAATAAAAAAAAAATATTTTTAAATAATTTTTTCAGAAAAAATGGACCTTTAAAATAAATTGTTTGAAAGGAGATATTGAGGAACCACTGGTATGAAATAAACTAGCTTTGACCCTGGGCTAAGGGACAATGATGGCTCACCAATGACCACAGAGGACTCTTATGTTTCTTACTTGTTACCATTTGGAATCATACAACTATGTTTAAAGGATTCTGCATAGCCATTTCATTTTTTTCCAGAGAATTAGATTGTGTGAGAATAAAAGGTGTTATTAAAATTTACTTGTTAAGAAACGTTAAGAATGAATATCTTTACTAATGGGATCAATTTCATTCAGAAGTTTAAAGAAACAACAAGATTTTTAGTTTGGCATTCTTGGTGAGTATGTTATCTGACTTGAGGGGTGATCCATCATGAGTCAATAGTAACACAGATGAAGTTCCTTTTGGCCTTCTCTATATTCTTATTCTAGGATATATTCCAGTTAGCTATAAATTGTTTATATTTAAAGGAAGAAAGAGCCCTGGCCAGAGTGGCTCAGTTGGTTGGAGTGTTGTCCCTCCCATACACCAAAAGGTGGCAGGTTCATCTCCTGGTCAGGGCACATACCTAGGTTTCAGGTTCAATCCCTGGTTGGGGTGTATACGGGAGGCAACCGATCAGTGTTTCTCACATTGATGTTTCTTACCGATCTTTCTCAAATCAATATAAATAAATAAATAAAGGAAATAACTAATGAAAGGGAGTTTCAGGACTAAAGAAGTGATCATTTAAATGGGTGCCTGAGGTGGCAAGATTCTCAGGTGAAGATCAACAAAAACAGCTGTGAATGGAGCGCTGGCCTCAGCTTTGAATCCAGCCCCACCACCTCTTCCTGATGTCTGACCCTCTTAAGAGTTGTCATGGTAGATACTGAAAAATCACTTGGCTCTGATTCTAGTAAATACCAATAATCAACTCTTAAACATGCCAAGAATAGACACAGAACTATACGTTTATGTAAAGTGTTATGTGAAGTGTAAAGGAGTGTTTTATGAAAGAAAACATAATTATCATCTACCTCAACAATACATTCAGGTAAATCATGTACAAGATGTAGTTTAATGATTTTCAAATTCTGCTGGTGTTTTCAACTACTTAGATTTTCATCTTTTCAGGCTTTCTGAAGATTTGAGGGATGATGAGAGTTGTAACAAAATGCAAAATATGTTTCCATTGATGCTTTGTGCATTGTTAATTTGTTCTGCATATTGTTAAGCCTAAGTATTTATAGCCTGTAAGTTAGGTAGATTGAGAGCGTTTGTTAAACCAAAACAAAAGTACCCTTGGTTTAGCTTTCCCTTCTGTGTTCTATGCTCTTGTGTAGATGTGTATAGTTGCACTCATTTAGAGCACCCTCCAAAAGTGCTCTTTGATCGGTAGCCTCTGAATATTGGTGGTTTGTAGGCTCTGCTACGAAGTGAAGGACATGTCAAAGAAATAGACCAGGGAGACTATGTTTAGGTTGAGAGTAAAAGGTTTTCAGGAGGAAAAGATAGTGGCAGAAGCTGGTTTGCATCATCCCCATTCTAAAACAAGGCTGTTTTATAACCCAGCTCATTGTATCACCTACAACTTTATGGCTATAGAAGCCTGCTCTTATGGAATATGAATGGAGAGCTGTCCCCCTGTCTATAACATCTGAAATGTTCCATCTACTGCGTGGCATTTCGATCTCCTGAACCCTCCAGTTAGCCTCAGAATTCATCACTTGCAGAATAGAGAGATTATTCAAGTTTTGGTTTGATACCTATTTTTACTTAAAAGTCTTTTTTTTTCTTTACCAAAAAGCATCTTTCCTGATTTTGAATTTTCATTCTTACATTCATCAGTTGGTGAATTAGTAAGAGGTAAACCTAAATGCAAACAAACCCCTTAAACCTGAATAGAGAAAAAATGAAATATAAAGAAGTCTCTTGCATGTCTGCATGGGTCAGAAACTGAGATGCAATTGTGTGAAACAGACATCTCCCAACCTGGCTTTGTATGTTGTTCATCCTGCTCCAAAAGTAGTTCTTACTTACTAGTGTCCCGGTGCATGAATTCATGCATGGGTGGGGTCCGGCCAGCCCGCCCCAATGGGGGCCCATCGGATGGGCTGGCTGGGGAGAGGAGCCCCGGGCAGTTGGCTGGCCACCCTCACCCCCGATCAGGGTGGGGGGGGGGCGATTGGGTGCAGGGCCAGCCGGGGGGAGGGGCCATGGGAGGTTGGCCAGACAGTCCTGCCCCCGATTGGGGTGATGGGGGGCAGGGTCGGCCAGGGGCAGTTGGCAGCTGGC